TCTTTGTTGTCCAGATGTTCTAGGGATGTTCTAGGGCTAGGGATACGGCATCCTCTGTGGACCTGTTATGTTGGTAGGCAAACTGTAGAGGACCGAGGCAGGTTGGGAGACTGGAGTTGATGTGGGCCATGACCAGCCTCTCAAAGCACTTCATGATTATTGAAGTCAGAGCTGTTGGGCAGTAGTCATTAAAGCACATTGCATGTGTTTTCTTGGGTATGGGGATGATGGTTGTCTTCTTGAAGCAGGTAGCAACTTCAGCTTGTAGGAGGGAAAGGTTGAAGATGTCAGTGAATACCTCCACCAGTTGTCTGCACAGGATCTGAGTGCTTGGCTGGGGACACCGTCCGGGCCCATCGCTTTCCTTGGGTTGACTCCCGGGAAGACTGATTTGACTTCAGAAGTGGTGACAGAGGGAACAGGTGTGTCTGGGGCTGTCGGGGCAGGCGTCGCCACGCCGGTGGTATGAGATGTGCCAGCCACATTTTTGTCATTGTACTCTGCTTCTCTTCTTTCTCATCTTATTGCATCAGACTTTAAGCAGTGTCACAAAAACCTCAAGTTATTCGTAATATTGAAAGTGAAACGTGAACTCTGTCCCTTGAGATTTCAATCTTTTTCTTTTGCCTAGATCTGTTTGAAGAAACGGAAGTAAAGGATTCAGGCCCCTCTACATCTGGTTGTGCCAGCACTTCCATATATGTCCTTCATTCACTCACTCCCTTTCAACTACCAGTGCTGAGACATCAGAGGAAGAAGAGAATGTGTCTGAGAAAACTATATTGAGCTAAACGACAGCACGTGAATGAGCAGCAATAGCTGTCAGTGCAAATTAGAGAGTAAGGTATTACTGACTGGAATATTCTCACCCCAACCACCCCTCCCCCCAACCCAAACCCCAGAAGAACAATTCTCAAAGATTAGCTTTCAGAATGAGAATGCATGCACAGTATCAAATTTACATCTAAGTACTAAGGAACATTCTAGAGAGCTGAATAAGCAGAGGAGTCCATTATCAGTATGAATGCTAATGCAATGGATGGCTTTGGAGTGTGTGGAATCTTCAGCTCGATCATCACTAAAACTGCAAGACAGAGATGCTATGGATCATTGGTACTTTCTCAGTGGATGCTCAGACTGTTGCCAGTGCTTAGGAAAAGACAAGATTAAATGAAAGAGTTCACACCTATGCCAAGGTGAAGCAAAGTGATAACAAAGATATGCACACAATCTGGCTTTTGGTTAAAACTACTGTTGTTGGCAAGATTTAAAGGTTTTTTAAATATATACCATAGAAAGAATGAGAGTTTGTGTATTGAGTAGCATGCAGGCTAAACTGTATATCTTTGGTGGGAAGGACAGGAAGTCCACTCAGGATTGTCAGTGGAAAGCTTAGATGTTATAGTTTTTTTCATAGAGAAGGTTTTTTTCATAGAATTCATAGATTTCTGTAACATTATGATATGAATGATCTTTCATGGCTCTAACAGCTGTCCTTTATGACAACTTCTATTTATTGCTCCTTCTTATAGAACAGTAAAGGTCAAGAGGAGGGCATTTTGGCCATAATGCTGGTGCTGGCTCCATGAAAGAACCACTCACCTGCCATTTCTTTATAGCCCTACGAAACGTTCCTCTCGTATTTATCCAATTCGCCTTTTGAAAATTATCAAAGCTGCTTCCATCACACTCTCAAGCAATGCATTCTACATTATAGCAACTCACTGTGCAAAGCATTTTCCTAATTTTGCCTCTTCTTCTTTTGCTAGTTACCTTAAATAGCTTCTTAGGCTCATAGAAATGCCCTTGTTAAATCTCTAGAGTGAAGTTTACAGTGGATAGTGCCATGTTATGTCCCTTGCCAGCCTGGGTGCCCAATGCTGTTCCTTCTCTTTCTTCAGGAAGGAAAAGTAGAGAGGCAGAGATGATGATTCAAGAAGTCCAATGCACCTTGTTTTTTTAGGGGTTGAGCTGGGGTCTTCCACAAGTGAAAGTCATTCAGTTTCAGTCGATAAAAAACAGTTAAAGCGAAAGATTTCATAAAGCTTTCAATGACATTCACGTGGCTTGGTAAATTAACTGGTGACAACTCGCTTGCTTTCCACTCAACACCTACCAACCTCCCACAACATCACCACCACAAAACTCTCATCCCACCTGCTCAAGAACTCTCAGCCCTGTTCAGTAACTTGTCAAGACTCCCCAAGCAACCATCCCCAATTTCTACACTGGTATAAAAGAAAATCTCAGGCATTAAGAAGCAGTCACGTCAGGAATAGATTTGGGAAGTGCTGGCCTAAAGACCTTTTTTAAAGTTACTGCTGAATGCAAATGAGGGAAGATGGGATGCATGATGTTAACAAGTTATTACATCTTTATTGAAGTGCTAGAAATGACAGTGAAAACTTAAGTGAAAATGTGCCAAGGGGCTAGTGTACTGGTCCATCCAACCACCTGAGGTGATGTTTTAAAAATCAGGCAATACTTGGCAGACAATCCAAGCTGAATAAGGTGTAAAGTCTTGCCAATTCTTAAAATTACATGAAAGAAATAGCCTCCAAAGCTGGGATAACAAGGTGTAGAGCTGGATGAATACAGCAGGCCAAGCAGCATCAGAGGAGCAGGAAAGCTGACGTATCGGGTCTAGACCCTTCTTCAGAAAAAAAATAAAGATATACTTTATTCATGAAAAATAGTAATTAGGCAAGAACTAAAAAAGGCTCTTGTCCTTTTTGGGAACTCTATTGCAATGTTAAAAAGTATCTTCCAAAGACGGGAAGAGAACAGGAAGGACAAGGGAAGAAAGGAAATACCATGAGTATACATTTAATTTAACATTTTGATAAGTGAGCATTTTTTTTTCATCCAGCTCTACACCTTGTTATCCCAGATTCTCCAGCATCGGCAGTTCCTACCATCTCCAAAGCTGGAATGTTTTTGTCACCCATTTGAAGAGTAATTAGGCAAGAACTGTGCTGAAGGATGCACTAAAGCTTGGGGCAGTTGCTGTCAAGACGCAGTGGGGAAAGACCACTGTCTGAGGTCCTTCTGCTGAAGTTAAATTGGGGTCGGTTCAGTTATCAGACCTTCCCGGTGCCTCAAATGCATGTAAATATACTCTTATTCAAGTTAAGAGATGTCTTTGGTTTGTTTAGATAAAGTGAAACTCCAGTGTTTGTTTGTTTCCTTGATAAGCTACTGTGCAGAGCCAAACTGCATTTGTGACTTTGTATTTGTATAAAGATATACTTCATTCATAAAAAAAAAGTAATTAGGCAAGAACTAAAAAAAAGGCTCTTGTCCTTTTTGGGAACTCCATTGCAATGTTAAAAAGTGTCTTCCAAAGATGGGAAAAGAACAGGGAGGACAAGGGAAGAAAGGAAATACCATGTGTATACATTTAATTTAACATTTTGATAAGTGAGCATGTGGTGCTGTCCTGTCCTTTTAAAGTCTACAAGCAGCCAGCCACATCTCATGCATCCACACAAAGTTAAATTTGTCAATTATCCAGCTCCAATCATTATTAGCAAATTGAGCACTTTGACTCCATGACTGTTGTAACTAAAGATATCTTAAAACATCAGAGAATGCCCTCTCTGAGACAAATATATTAATCTGGACTATGGATAAACAAAGTAGCAGTAACATTCAGAAGTTAGAGGAAATGTATATAAAATTATTTTGTCTTCCTAGACCGAGTCATCTCATTGTCCTACAGTCACTTTTCATCAATGATTGCTGGTCTTGTACTGAGCAAATATCATTCAGATGTGCTTTTCTCCCCAGATTTGTTTATCTTGAGCTCTGGGTCAACCTTCGACAGATCCCTGGATCTTCTTTCAGAGCAAGGGTTAGAGCTCTTCTCAAGTCAGAACGATAGTGAGTGGATGTGTTTGAAAAGGCAAAAGGGCAGGTCAGCCTGTTTGAACCTCACAGTGAGAATAGCGTAACAAGCAATCCATCACACCTGCCCCATTCAACACGGACATTACTTTAATCAGAAGCACAGTCCATCTGTTGACTGCTTTAAACACATTATTTGTCTTACAAATTTATCTATTTCAATGAGCAGCTTGGGAGGCTGGAACCCTGCTTCTTTTCCCTCCTCCATATTTTAAAAGGCTTTGATGGACTGGGGTGAATTTTAGTTTAATCAAGTGTGTAATCAAAAATTATTTTGTTCAGGCTGCATACTGCACTCACTACACACCAAGCACATCTTTTGTAGATCTGGTCCTGTGATTGACTGATGGGGTCAATGGTTAGCACTGCTGCTTCATAGTGCTAGGGCTTGGGTTCGATTCCAGATTCGGATGACTGTGTGAAATTTGCATGATCTCCCCACCGGTTTCCTCCCACAGTCTAAAGATGTGCAGGTTCGGTGGATTGGTCTTGCTAAATTGCCCTGCAGTGTCCAGAGATGTGCAGGTTAGGTGGATTAGCCATGGGAAATGCGGGATTACGGGTATAGAGTGGGGGCTGTGTCCAGGTGGAATGTTCTTTGGAGGGTCAGTGTGGCCTTGATGAGCCAAATGGCCTCTTTCCACACTGAATCCACATTGGGATTCTATGATTGCCAGACTGAACAAGCTTAAACAAGGTTGTCACACTCTCAACTTTATGGGATCCACAGCACAGCATACAACCAGCAGTCCCAGTTACAGCCAAATCACACAGGCAACTTGCACAGAACATTCAAATTGCAGTAATGCAGGGAAAGTGCCATTGCATCATGCCAACACTACAGCAAACAATTTCCCCAGTGTGTGACAACATGTACCCATATTTCACTAAGCAATTTCCATTTCCCGCATACCCTCACCACTGCTCCTATCCCCGGCAGCTGTGGCTCCACCACCATATTAAGCAAACCATCCCAGATGTACCTACTTTACTGCAACTGGAGAACTTGAAAGCTGATGAGAAGCGTAACATTGTGTCCTAGAAGGTTCCCAGACCACAGTGTAACACAAGAACTCACACTCAATACAATACACTTGATGCTCACTTCATCGAGTTTAATGCTGTTTCAGTACAAAAAAATAAATAAATGTGCACTAAAACATGTATATCACATTTTAAAAAAATATTAAAGAGGTGATTTTCTGACTGTACGCTCAGTAGAAAGCCTCACCCAGTTCAGAAATTCAGATATGAGTTATATGATGCCACAAGATAATGACAAAAAAGTCATGCACAGTGCACATCACAACTTCCAACATGAAATCTGATGGGTAACATTCCCTTACTGAAATGTAATGTTGGAAAATTACCTCTTGGAGCCAGAAAGAATCATGACAGATGTCGTTGCATCAACAATACTTTCACTGAAAGCAAATAAACAAGACAAACTTTGTCCATCACAGAAAATACATTTGAAAATACACCTTGCATCACTTGTGATTGTGTTCTTGGTGTACATTAATGCTTTAATTTTCCTGCATTCTTAGGTTTTCCTCCACTAACGTTACTGAACAGCAAAGAATTGATAAATGTTGGTTTTGTCAAAATAATGAAGCATATTTATTATTAGGTGGTAGATTAGTCAAGGGAATGGCAACATTTAGTGCCTCGGAATTAGGCATGAAGGTAAAATAGCAGAAAAGAAGAACTTCTGAACATGTTAATATTCCAAGGACCTATCTTTAAGGGATAGATCTCAAACCTGAGTTTCCCTGAGATTTTGATAGATAAAGGGAGTATTTGGAATGGGGTATCAATTCCCCAATTGCTCACATAAATTTCCCTATCAGCTATTAGGAATAATGTCAGTGAAGGTTGGAGCAAATCTTTGCAGGAAGTTACTGTGTAGCAAGTCAGATCGGGAGGGAACGATAGCACCAATAAATAAAAATGAGGGTAATTAATGAAATGTTTATACTGCAAGATTGAAAATGCCAAGAGCTCAGCGTGACTAAATTTATTTCTGAACCCTGATATTTTGGAATTGTTGGCATTATTATCATTTCAAAATGCCCTCTTCATCTACTCCAAACAGTGACATAATGGTTTGGCTTAGTTCACTCAGCATTCTGAGGTGGCTTCTGTGCTTGAACAGTGACAAGAGATGTAGAGGAGATTTCCAAATGAAATAACGCTGAAATAAATGGCAGTGACCTTGCATTAGGAAGCCACATACCCGTGTCGATTGTTCTTCTGCTCACTATCCCCTACCCTCACAGTATTGCACATTTTCCAGGCGATCCTGATCACCCTTTCTTTCATCCCATTACAAGATACCCCATAGGAAAAAAACACAAGCCAGAGCTGAAGCACTTCATCCTGCAGTCAGCCTTGCTTTTTATTCCCTGCTAGGATGGCTTGAGTTCTTTTGTATCCTCGGCTCATCTGATACTCAGTCTGCCACTTTTACAAATGTTATTTTCTCTGCCGCAGGCACTACACGATTCGAACTGGTTTTGAAGAAAACAAGATGGCGACCTGTGAATGGAAGAGAAGTAATATCTGGTCATAATTATACTCATGTGAGAAAGGAAATCCTGAACTGCTGGAATCCACTCCAGTTTGTTTCAGGAAAGCTCATCAAGAAAATGCCAAATGATGACTTTCTTTCAACTGTCCACTTTAATTAGACGGGACTTTGTTTTCAAAACTTCCTGTTAAATTACAGAAGTAGCATATTATGCTGACAGGCAAGCACCCATTACAGTAACTGCTACACTGGTTATCCTTCTTCAGCTTCAAGAAGTAATTAAAGCCATCTTTCAGTAGAGTGTCATTTGCAGATTTCATCGGTGCCTGGTGTTTTCACACTCTGACCTCATGCAAGCTGAACTGAACTCCCACTCACATTCTCCAACAGCTGGACTCGATCCTAGCCTGTGCTGTCAGCGATCACTGAAGCGTTCATCAAAATATGACACAGAAAAATAGATCAGTGGTTCATTCAGTTCACCATTGGAATGCACACTGTGGTTTGCTGTGACTTTTTTTTAAGCTAAACTCTCGTCCCTCTCTATGCTAACCAAATATATGGCACAGCACTTTATTTTTTAGAAATTTTCATATTTCAAGACAGTCCCATAATCTAACAGTTTTCTTAACATCTGTATTTCTTTTTGAAAAACTTATAAAACAGTCAGTTCCTGTTTGAATTTGGAAGTTCCAAGAGTTCCTCAAGTACATTAAATATTGTTAATCATGCTGATGGAAACATGCTTCAAATTAAGATTGGCATGATACTGTGCAATTTCACATTTAAATGAAATAAAGTCAGAGTGTGAGAAATGGACATGGAAACGCAGGGACGAGGATTCCCCTGAGGGTTGTTACAAGTAGATCTATCTTTCATTTTGAATGCAAAACACCAGCAAGACCAAGGAAGGAAATGAGCAAGGCAAGGTCTCTTTTATAGAAAGCGAAACTGAACAGTAAACATTGGTTATGACCTGGAATCTCACATAAATAAAAAAAAAATAGTGAATGGGAGGTAAACATAATTCTGACCAGGCCAATATTCTCACTACATTTGCCCCTGGTAGGACAAGTTTTTTCACTGATGCATTGTCATCCTGTTAGATGTTGTCTGTACTGTAATGAGGCTTACCTGTCCAAGTTGTCTGGTTGGTCAGAACAAAGGCATGGCACTGAGAATGGCTATCACATATCTCCTTGGCTTCATTAAGATCATAGACAGACAGCAAGCAGCCTTCATGGTGGTAAGATGGCCAACACCGATAATTTTCATCTGGGACAGCAATATTGGCTAACTGTTTGTATTCTGCAAACCAAACGAATAAATAGCTTAACATCATTGATCTACGAGCCAAACTGATCTGCACAAAACTGGTGAAGCACATCCTGACTTTCTACTGTGAACAGTGACTGAGGCAACCACTCAAGCTGCATCAACACATCATGAAGATGAATTCATTTTTTTTTGCTCTTGTTTTTTGTTCTTACTCTCTCTACTCCTATAAATCCTATAAACTTTCACCTCCCAACATGTCTTATTTTCTAGTGCTCTCCAGTGACAGAAACACCACAAATCAAGTGCACACACCTAAGGAGCTGGTAATTCTGAGGAGCTCATTAATCTTCATCATGATGCTCCCACTGTCTACAGGAAGGCTGGTTGTCCTAGTAAATGTCCACATCAGAAAAGATAGGAAAATGTTGATAGCCTACAAATCAATAATCAAATGGTCCAGCCATTATAAACAAATTATCTGTGAGAAAACCTTAAATCCATTCATGCATTGTGAAATGTAAACAAGTCCTAAATTGCGTCCAGTTTTTATATGATCCGTTTCCAGCAATGGTACAAGTGTCCATCTTAAGCATGCAGGAACTCAATTTAAAGATTAATTGAAGGCTTGGAACACTTGCACACCAACTCCGACTACTCTGCTGTGCAACACATCAGATGCGGACCATATCCCTTTTAAAGGGTATGCCCAAGGCTGCTACACAAGGTAAGTAAATAATGCAATGTCAAACAATATGTAATGTTGAGGTGACTGTAACTAGGGCAATTTTCAATCTTCTTTCTCATCTTTCCTTGCTACCCAAACCTTCCCTCGCCAACCGGAAGAAAACATCACTCTGCGACTGCCATGTATGTTCGCTTGATCTTTTCTATCAATCGTTGTACATTTATTTCCACCTACTGGCAACAATTCCTTGCACAATGGGTTGTGATTCATCAGGTATAATTAGACAATGAACACTAACTAGATTCCTACCCAATGAGCATTTCCCCCCCTCCAAGTGTCTGTTAACAGCGCATCCCTTCTTAACTGATTCAGAGATAGTAGGAACTGCAGATGCTGGAGAATCTGAGATAACAAGGTGTAGAGCTGGATGAACACAGCAGGCCAAGCAGCATCAGAGGAGCAGGAAAGCTGACGTTTCGGGTCTAGACCCTTCTTCAGAAATGGGGGAGGGGAAGGGGATTCTGAAATAAATAGGGATAGAGGGGGAGGCGGATAGAAGATGGATAAAGGAGAAGATAGGTGGAGAAGAGACAGACAGGTCAAAGAGGCGGGGATGGAACCAGTAAAGGTGAGTGTAGGTGGGGAGTTAGGGAGGAGATAGGTCAGTCCAGGGAGGACGGACAGGTCAAGGGGGCGGGATGAGGCTAGTAGGTAGGAGATGGGGGTGGGGCTTGAGGTGGGACGGGTGGATAGGTTGGAGGAAGGACAGGTTAGGGAGGCGGGGACAAGCTGGGCTGGTTTTGGGATGCGGTTGGGGGAGGGGAGATATGCTGTATCTGCTTTTCCAGATGTGGCCTCCTCTAAATCGGGGAAACCAAGCAGAGGCTTGGGGACCGCTTTGCGGAACACCTACGCTCGGTTCGCAACAAACAACTGCACCTCCCAGTCGGGAACCATTTCAACTCCCCCTCCCACTCCTTAGACGACATGTCCATCCTGAGCCTCCTGCAGTGCCACAACGATGCCACCCGAAGGTCGCAGGAACAGCACCTCATATTTCGCTTGGGAACCCTGCAGCCCAATGATATCAATGTGGACTTCACAAGCTTCAAAATCTCCCCTCCCCCAACCGCATCCCAAAACCAGCTCAGCTTGTCCACACCTCCCTAACCTGTCCTACCTCCCACCTATCCACTCCTCCTAGCTCAAGCCCCACCCCCATCTCCTACCTACTAGCCTCATCCTGCCCCCTTGACCTGTCCATCCTCCCTGGACTGACCTATCCCCTCCTTAACTCCCCACCTACACTCACCTTTACTGACTCCATCCCTGCCTCTTTGACCTGTCTGTCTCCTGTCCACCTATCTTCTCCTCTATCCATCTTCTATCCGCCTCCCCCTCTCTCCCTATTTATTTCAGAATCCCCTTCCCCTCCCCCATTTCTGAAGAAGGGCCTAGGCCCGAAACGTCAGCCTTCCTGCTCCTATGATGCTGCTTGGCCTGCTGTGTTCATCCAGCCCTGCACCTTGTTATCCCTTTTTACCTCCTTTTATCAATGCGTAGTTAGTAGTCAGGTGACATTACTAAGATATGTGAATGCCTGGCCACAATCCTTCTATAGTTTGTCATTTTCTAAATTTCACTGAATGAAAGAAGCCATCAAACAGAGAACAATAAAACATGATGAGCTGCATCTGCTACTGCTCATTATTTCAAATCCTGGCCTATCAATGGTTAAAAAAAACTTGCAGTTTACATAGCACCGTTCATGATCTCCAGACAAAGTCCAAAATACTTTTGTTGACGGCAAATTTTGACTTTCCTTGAGGACTACTGTTTCATTTTTTGGCTTTTAGGAGCTCCTTATACACTCAAATTGACTTATTTATTAGAATATGTAGTCATTTAGCAACAATACCTTGCATATTTTTGACAAAAAGGGTATTTGGACTCGCAACAAAACAGAATGAGAAAAATGCATCAATATCCTAAATAATGAATCAAACTTCCATTAAATTTAAACTATAGCACATAAGGAAAGCATGATTTTTTTTTTAGATACCACAGTATTTAAATAGGCACAAGACAACAGTGATAAGTTTGTCATAAAATTTTTCACCAAAAACCTGATAATGCACTCCTGCAGCCAACTATCATCACCCTAAACTCACTTTCCACAAACTGGTGACATCATAGTCAATGTGTTTCCAATGTATAGGCACAAAACTGCAAGATTTAATTAGGCAGTCAAAACCCTTTTTTACTAAATCTCAGATCCCAGCGTCAGATTTAAATGTAAGAATTGTCACAGTGTTCATTACAATAGCATCCATTTGATGTTTCGCCATTTAGTAGCTCCTGAACATACGCAATCTTAAGCTAGAGATTCCACATTATTTGCAAGGATTTCATTACCTTAGCTACTTAGCTTAACTTCCTTGGCTGTTAATGAGTGGCATATCCCTTTTTGACAGATTTAAAATGATTCTCTCTTCTTTGCAGCCTTCCTCACCCTCCTTCTTTGTATCTTCCCTCTTACCTTTCCTTGCAGGCTTCCCACTTTCCTGTCTTTGCAGCCTCCCTTTCCACCCATGTAACGTCCCCTTCATCCCATCCTTGCAGCCCCTTTCTTCACCCCGTCCAGCATCACAGCCTTTCTTTTTTCTCTAATGTCCTGCTTTTACCAACCCAACAGATGCCCACGACTCCTGGCTTCTGCCCCGAACCCCAGCTGTGCAAGGCTTCTCCCCAACCCCTCCAAGAATTAAAGGATTTAGAAACAATGCTAGGAAGTGGGACAGAGCACAAATCTTTCTGTGAGCATTTCCACTTCAACAGTCATGAAACAGGAGTTGGACAAGTCTTAAAACTCATCTCTTTGACCAAGAGTTAAGAGTTTGAAAACCTGAGTTTTTGGGCAGTGATGGGTAACAGGAAACCTCCCTATTCTTCTTCTTAAAATTTACTATCTCACATCTCCCAGTTTTGAACTTCATTTGCCAATTATTTGTCCGTTCTGCCAGTTTACACATGTTCTCCTACAATCATTTGCAGTATTCCTTAGAAACCTATCCTCGACCTAATTGATGTAGCCAGAAGGGTTCTGACCCGAAATGTCAACTTTCCTGCTCCTCTGATGCTGTCTGGCCTGCTGTGTTCCTCCAGCTCCACACTGTTATCTCTGACTCCAGCATCCGCAGTTCTTACAGTCAGAAGTTGTGTTTTTGATTCCACTTTTGAAGCTTTAACATAAATTGTGAACACCAATGGTCCCAAAGCCAATTCTTGTGGAACTCCACATGTACCCACTTCGGCCTCGAGGTTTTATAATCACTCTCTGATTTCAGTCTTGAAACTAGCAATCCATTCTGCCAGTTGTCTTCTGACTCTGCGTTTTATGACCTTATATATTAGTCTATTATTGGACACATAATTGAAGGCCTTTTGAAAATCTAGATAAATGTTTTTGTTGCTGAATTGTTGTTGTTTCATGACATGATTGGACATGACCTGAACCTGTAATAACCACCCAAGTACAACATAATGTTGCTTTCAAATAAGATTTTGTTGAAATATACTTTTTTCGAATGCTGCTTTAATCTTGGTGCCGTGCTTTTGCTAATCTGATATAAAGTCAGAAGTTAAGATGAACTGCAACAAATAATTACAATTATAGTTGCATTTTTTTACCTAGGCCTAGTTATTTGTAATTATAAGAGTCAGTACTACATTCATTCTTACATGTGATTGCGATCTCCCATCAAAATGTACCTCATTATCATAGATCACAACGTGGAAAGATTAAACATCTGTAATTACCTGCTACAACCAATGAGTCTTTGAACTAGAGGCCTGGTCTGATTTTGATTTCAAAAGAATGTTAATTGCTTTGCCTTTATCATTCAGAGAATTTTATTCAAATTTCTTTGCTTATCCCATTCTGGAATATAGATTAGCATTTTGGCGCATAGGAATATGGAAATTGGAATAGACCATTCAGCCCCTTGAGTTGCTCCACGATCCAATTACATTACGGATGATCTATATCTCAATTTCATATACCATCTCCAGATCGCTTGACACATAGGAACGGGAGTAGGCCATTCAGCCCCTTGGGCCTGCTCCACCGTTCAATAAGATCATGGTTGATCTGTGGTCTAATTCCATATGTCTGCCATGGGACCATACCTGAAGATACCCCTGCTTAATAAAAATTTTTCTAACTCAATTTAAATTTAACAGTTGGATAAGCATCGACTGCTGTTTGAGAAATTGAGTTCCAAACCTCCAACACTCTTTGTGTACAGAAGTGCTTTCTAACATCTCTTCTGGTTCTAGAATTTTC